CATCCCGAAAATAGTATCAAGAACACTTCTTGATCCTGAAAAAGCATACAATCAAGATCGGGAAAATAGTATCATGAACGCTTTTCAACAAGATAAAGCATACCGACAGAATCAGGAAAATAGTATCATGAACGCTTTTCATCAAGATAAAGCATACCGACAGAATCAGGAAAATAGTATCATGAACACTTTTCATACCGACAGAATCAGGAAAATAGTATCATGAACGCTTTTCAACAAGATAAAGCATACCGACAGAATCAGGAAAATAGTATCATGAACGCTTTTCATCAAGATAAAGCATACCGACAGAATCAGGAAAATAGTATCATGAACACTTTTCATCAAGATAAAGCATACCGACAGAATCAGGAAAATAGTATCATGAACGCTTTTCATCAAGATAAAGCATATCGACAGAATCAGGAAAATAGTATCATGAACGTTTCTTGATCTTGACACATCAAGAAGACCATGTTCCGCATCTAGTCTTATAGACCCCACACAACACATAAATATAATAATCAACTAACATACTCTCATGCAAATTGCATTATACACCACTTAAAAGAAGCTGAAGAACACCCAATTCTTCCATATGTTAAAGTTTTAATCTGTGATGGCATGATAGATCAACTATAGTACTATTCTTTAACTTTTCTTGAGTGGTATATATTTCCACTTGTTGCTTAGCAATGTGTGAAAACAGGAATTTCAGACTTCACCCAAAAGGATACATGTACAACATTTTTGACTGTTATTCCACTGAATTCTCCAAGACAGAATCAAACTAATTGTGTTTCAGTTCATCAACACCAAACAATATTTCTAAATCAGAACATCAGAAAATAACAAAAAGACAGCACATACTTTCAGAAAATAATCATAAACAAAAACAGTCTATTCTATAAATCTATTAATAAATATGTTTATTTTCAAGTTGAATATTTACAGGGGTATTTTGCAAAGACTTACAAAGCTATATACAAAGCATCATGTACACACGTCCCATACTGTAGAATGAAGCACTATATACAGGCTGTGGGGGATATCCAGCTGTGGCAGCCATATCCAAGTGCTGCTCCCTATAAATGACTACGACTTTGTCTTGTTGCTAGACAGAGCTTCAGGCTGTTCCACAGGGTGTTCCTAACAGATTCCCGATCCGGAACATATCACACAAACAACCCTGCCATACATGAATCTTATCTCACGAAAATTGCAACATGACTCCCTTACTAAAACCCTTGCCTTGAAATATGTGTACCTATGTTTTCAATCATGCAACTTTCTATGTACTTATCAGGCTGGAATTGTAAGAAGGGTACAGATTTTTGGCCGTCATCTCTAAGTGAGTGAGTGAGTGAGTGAGTTTGGTTTTACGCCGCTTTTAGCAATATTCCAGCAATATCACGGCGGGGGACACCAGAAATGGGCTTCACACATTGTACCCATGTAGGGAATCGAATCCGGGTCTTCAGCGTGACGGGCGAACACTTTAACCACCAGGCTACTCGACCGCCCCGTCATCTCTAAGAGCAATGGTGGATAACAATCTTTACTGGTCCAGTTTCCACCTCAATAAGTAAGTATATTGTTGCACGATCTTAAATATAAGTACTGTATTTGTAGGCAAGTGTCTTAATAAGTGAATCATGTTGCATTTGTCGTTAGATCATGACACATGCACTTTGCTGAAGCATATAAAGTGAGATACAGATGTGGATCGGGGATCTATTGGGAGAGCACCATGGGCCAGCCTGTAGCTGTGAGTAGACACCAGTCAGTATCCAGGTCGTTTCTAGGAGCAGTACAGACATACGGTTACTGCATCTAGGAGGATGGCTAGCTACAAAATCATAGCAAAGATGTCCTGCTCCACTACCTGACATCAACTTGTCCTGAAGACTTAGCAACAATTCACATAGCAGTAACATTGTAATAGAGACCGATGCTGATTTTATACTGGGCTTCACGAACTTGGTCACAGTGCTTAAAAAAGAAAACCGGAAATATTAATATCCCCTAATTCCAAAACACATTTATCCTTAAGTACAGCAAATATGTCAATTCTTGTCATGTGTTATGTTTGTTGTTGTTTAACGCCGCACTCAGCAATATTCCAGTTATATGATGGCAGCTGTAAATGATTATCTAATGATTGACACCATGAGCTTTGATCTACGCAACTGGGATACAATGACATGCATCAACCAAGTCAGCAAGCCTGACCACCCGATCCCAAAAGTCTCCTACGGCAAGCATGGGTAGCTGAAGACCAATTCTAACCCAGATCTCCACGGATCATATGAGTTATGAACCCGTAAACATGAAGGGTTTGAGTACACTACCTTGGCTGCTGTGTCAAAAACAGTAACAGTGGCCATACAGACAAATCGATCTTCTTTCAAATAAATACAGACTAAGCTTGTGGAGGTCACTACAAGATGACTGAATCCTATCACAACGTTCGTTGCTGTGAGGGAGCATCAGGGCTATCTTGATGTAAGATAGTAGAAGTGGAGCAATACATTGCTATGATTTCATACGATGGTGTATGTACAATGAGGTATGTGGTGACTCAGAGAGCCTATAATCTCTCTTTATTCTCCCTAATACTTCAGAGCATGCTGGCAATTGGGTCTCTCAGCAGTCACTGTAACAGTTTCCTGAGAGTGAGTGAGTGAGTTAGGTTTAACGCCGCTTTCAACAGTATTCCAGTTATATCACGGCGTGTCAGCTTAATGTTGGAGGAAAGCCCGAAGTGATGCCGGTCTCGGACATTTATCACTTCGGTGAAACCCACGGGATTCGAACCCACAATCATAGGTTTCTGGCGTGCCCAGGGGACGCAATGCTGCACAGAGAATCGCGGCGCCTTAGACGACTGGGCCACCCGTGCCCCCGTTTCCTGCGAGCTCTGTTAACCTATATATTAGCACAGAGTTCAGAGTCAGTCAACCAGCCTGTGATCAAACAAAGCATTTCACAGAATTGACTGTTGAATGATCTCAAAACCACGGAATTATGCAGGTGGTCATGGAGAGTGCAGAGATTCTCATCCTGAGTATTAAGACAGTGTAGTCTACTACAATAAAATATAGAAACAAAGAATCTAATATTATGAGAAATATTCAGACATGTGAAGGCAGCTTGACCAGTAGCTAAATAACTTGCTGTTCCCAAATCAGTTACTGAGTGAGTGAGTGAGTGAGTATGGTTTTACGTAGCTTTTAGCAATATTCCAGCAATATCACGGCGGGGGACACCAGAAATGGGCTTCACACATAGTACCCATGTCGGGAGTTGAACCTGGGTCTTCGGCGTAACGAACAAACACTTTAACCACTAGGCTACCCGACCGCCCCACGGTTCTTGAACACAGATTAAATGGTATCTCGGACACCAGATCCAGACCATTAGACCACTCTGCACATGTTGTTACGGTGAGATTACGTATGCAAATATCACTTGCGTGTTACCAAGTTCTATACCCTCAACAAACTTTTGCTCATTCTTCTAAATCATGACATACGTAATAGATTTTAAACTGTTCGAAAACGAAAATTAAAATCCTAGTACACTTCGATAGAAGGGCATATAATTCACACTGCCCTCAGTGGACATGCTGGAGAAACACAAACATCTCACATTGTCAAATATGGGCTAACATCTCACTGGTATTTAATACTGATGGTTTCAAATGGTAACACGTACAATTTTCAAAATGTTATTATCACTCTGTAAATGTTTCATGTAAAAAACATCGAGTAGGTCTCTCAACGCCCAGGTACAATAACCAACACAAAACTGGGGCAGTGTTCTGAAAAATAGGTCTTAGATCTTAGAAAAGTCTTGAATCTTGAACCAGTGGAGCTAAACACAGAACTGATGAGGAAAACAAACAAATGTGGCGGTCATCGGGATGCTGAGAGGGATGCAGAGCTTTCACACCGGAAACGGTTGAGATGAGAGAAGTAACAGGGCTCTCAGACAGAAGCCTTGAACACAGACTTGAGGCTTACAGTACTCTGGCCAGACCAAATTCATTCCTGTTTATGGATTTTGGGTGTCAAAATGAAAACATATACATTTTGTCTTTTAAAAAACATAAGCGCCGATTCATGGTGAATTACCCCAAAAAAGATTTAAAGTTGAAGTTTGAATTCATCTTCTATCCGTGAGTGAGTGAGTATGGTTTTACGCTGCTTTTAGCAATATTCCAGCAATAACACGACAGGGGACACCAGAAATGGGCTTCACACATTGTACCATCTTCTATCAGAGATATTGGCTCCACATACCACCATGAAGGGATGGTTGTTGTACTGAAAAGAGCCCTTGATCGATTGAAACAAAAACATATCAAAATCAAGCATATTTTTCAATGAAAGTATATGTCATTTTGGACATCTTTTTGGTCACATATTCAAAATACATCTGGAAAACAGGAACAAATTTTGTCTGGCCTTAAAAATTTTGTTTGAGGTTTTTCAAGGCTGTGAAATTATCATCTATACATAATACGAAGAAACATGATCTACATCACAAACACAAACACACGAGGTAAAACAGGTCTGACAAGATACAAACATAGAAAAACGTCTTAAACACATCCAAGGAAATGTCAGGATGTCAGCTTTTCATCAATAGCGATGCTACCTCTGTCTGTGTGACGAAGTCTTGATACAGTAAGCAACCAAAACTCTTCACGATATCAAGTGGCTCACTGGAGTAACCTTGTTTTACACAAATGGAAACAACATAACTGACATTTCATGACGACTGCTCTTGACAAAATAATATATACATCATAATTAGTCCGCATTATTGTGGAAACTGTATCAGCTTAGGGGCCGGCCATATGATACTGTTTTTTTTTAACAGTATTCCAGTTACATCACGACGTGTCAGTTTAATGTGGGAAGAAAGCCTGAAGTGATGCAGGTCTCAGACATTTACCACTTCGGTGAACCCACGAGCACGGGTATGGTGCTGACAAATCCAGAAACATAATTGGAGCGAACCAGGATTCGAACCCACAATCATAGGTTCCTGGTGTGCCCAAGGGACGTAACTCTGCACAGCAAATCCCAGCGCCTTAGACGACTGGGCCACCTGTGCCTCCGAGAGGCAATAAGAAGTTGGAGTTCTAAGTATGGATAAGATTTATGGACGATCAATGCAATAAAGAAGTTTTTCATTCATAAATTTTATCCTTACTGAATGGGGATTTAAAACATTTAATTTGGAGACTTGAGGCCATTAATACCTACTGCATGATGCATGCTGCCCACTTGGGCTGATTTTAAATCCTTCTATGGCAAGAGCACTGTCGTGATGTCTCCATATGTCACTTATGGGAAGCAGGGAACGCATATAATGCTGATGAACTTGGACTCCTGACTGTTGTCATGGTGACACATCATCTTGCAGGACTAGGCTCTTCATGAACATTGCCGTGGTTACCCTGTTTTTGCGTATCTGTGACTAGACCATAATAATGTCACGATCATATCGGGTTGCTGGACTTGTTTCTTGAAGACGTTATGTTGCTATGGCAACTTCTCATCACACAACTGTCATTGGATTGTATTGCCTGACAAACTACCTTGCCCTCATTGCAATAGTTGTACTGTGTCTGTAGTTACACTTTGTTCCACAGCTTTTCAGGGGGCTTAGTAGGCTCCTGTTGCCATAGTAACAACGATTACTCTGAATATGTCACTAGATTTCCATGTTGCCATGGTAACAAATGGTTTCAGAATATTGCAGGTTGTATCACCAGAGAATCTTACAGCAATTGTTACATATGATCAAAGCAGTGGGAAGATGCTTCACTAGATTATGTTGCTGCCATAGCTATGAGATGTCACAGGTAAATAGACTGTCATGTTGCCATGGTTACATGGTTTTTCAGATCAAGCCACTAGACAGGCTGAACATTTTTTGCAAAAGTTCCATATAGCCGATGCATTGGAAGACGTTAACTAAATTCTCTCACTGCCACAGCAATGAGTACTGCAGTCACAGTTTGCAAAACCTGTTGCCATGGTTACACTGTCTTGCAAGACAAGCCACTAGACTGCGTGGTGTTGGCGGCAGTGGGTGTCTCTGTCACGTACAACTCCTTCTGGTTCAGCTTCTGTCTCAGCAGCGGGTTTCTACACACAACCATGTGAAGCCTGTTGCCTGCCTCGGCAATCAGCGGCACGGTCAGACAGCAGTCGAAGTCCCTCGTCTTCACACGGTTCACCTGCATCCACAATACAAACAAACCTTCACATCAAACATCAAACCTGCATGGAAGCGGTCTACAAAACAGACCTGCTTATCATAGATGTTTTAATCACAAATCTTGCAGAAAATGAATACTACTTCACATTTGTCACCACTCTAAACAATCCGTAACCCATATGAAGAAAAGACTATGGTGACATAGGTGTCATATTGCTGTCGTGTTAGGCTGCTCATGGTTCAGACATACCAAAATGCTTTGCAGTGTTGACAAAGTGATTATAGTGCTACTTCAGCCATAAATTTAATTTTAAGTATGGGAGTAACGATCACCTTAGCGCTGCGATGGCTTTGTGGAACGGGGCCCTGGATTTCCCTTGGCCACCATACCACAATCCACACACTCACGAACCCCTTGCAGATCCGTCTGGGGAAGGGTTTGCACCCCCAAGCAAGGTCTAACCATTTAATGTGTGTGTTCACTTGGGTATAGTGAGTATACTCATTCCCATCCTTTCCAAAATCCTGAATCAGTTTCTGAAACCTCATCCCCTTACTCCATCACCCACTCTGTCCCAGTTTGATGTTTGTTTCTGCTCACTTTGAGATTTGGGAAAAATGAGCATCCCAACCCTCAACCCTGTTTCATAAATACTGGATCAACCTCTAAAAGCCCCCCTTACCCCCTCACTACCTCCAACACTTATCCTTGCTCAATAAATCCTGGATCAACCTCTAAAAGCCCCCCTTACCCCTGTCACTCCAACACTCATCCCAATTTTTCCTCTTATCGCCTTCAACCCTTAGGCCTGTTTCATCAATCCTTGATCAACCTCTTGAACCCCACCCAAACCCTGAACACTCCTCATCACCTTCAACCCTTAGGCCTGTTTCATCAATCCTTGATCAACCTCTTGAACCCCACCCACACCCTCAACCCCCCTCATCACCTTCAACCCTCAGCCCTGTTTCATCAATCCTTGATCAACCTCTGAAACCCCACCCACACCCTCAACCCCACCCTGATCACCCTCCAACATTCATCTAAATCTGAAGATCTCAGTCCCAACTCACCTGTAAGATCCGATCATACATCTTGAGTCCAGCCCTTTGAGCAGCACTACCCTGCCTCACAGCACTGATAAACACGCCCTTCTCATACATGCCGTCCGACAGACTGAATCCGAAGTCCTCCACGGCGCTGTCTTTCTCCACCGTCACTCGATGCAGCTGTATCGGCATCGGGGTGAAGATCGTCTGCATGTGTTCCTGGAAGGTGCGCGACGCCGGCAACGACTCCTTGGACCGCGACTTCACCCCCGAGTTGTTATACCGGCTGATACAATCCTGCGACATGGCACTCCGGTTCATACGACAAGCACTCTGGGATCTTGGCTTCCTTACATCGTCGTCCGACGCACGTGACCGACGATCCAAACTGGCACAGCTGCGTTCACGAAGACTTAGTCCGATCTGTCGCAACATCTCGGAGCCTGACCCCTTCTCGAAGTCGGCCAGCGTTTTGGCCCACTCGTCGGGTTCGAAGCTGGAACAGTTGCTGCCCGAGTCGTCATCCCAGTCTTCATCTGACATGTGCATGTCGGCCATTCCTTCCCCACTGCCCTCCAGGACTCCGGCTGAGTCTGTCGACATTGGTCGCATCAAGTCTGAAGAAATGACACTAAATCTGAGGTCTGCACCAAGACAGAAATATCAGTATTCAAATAGAATATCATATCATGAAAAATAACAATCAAGGGTACGGAAGAAATTTTCCGCAATTCTAAAGCTGATATAATTTGTTAGTTTGTTTGTTGTTGTTTATTGCCGCACTCACCAGTATTCCAGCTACATGACAGCAGTCTGTAATTAATCAAATATTCAAGTCTGGACCAGACAATCCCGTGATTGACATCATGAGTATCGATCTACGCAATTGGGATACGATGACACAGAGAGTCTGACCACCCGATCCCGTTAGTTGCCTCTTACGACAAGCACAAACGCCTTTTACGGCAAGCATGGGTTGCTGAAGACCTATTCTACCCCGGATCTTCACGGGTAAAAGCTGATACGAAAGATACTACATTTACCCATCATTTTCTTGTTCCTGGGTTGCGGTACTGCGACTACCAGTGGCTGAGAGTTACCATTGAGATGACTGTGACCAATGTCCTGCCCGGAGCTATCCCAGGACTCAAGAGCACTGTCCACGCTGGGGATGGGCGTCGCCGGCTTCATATCCTCCCCCTCGTACTGGAATCAACAACATAGAGAGTATTGTCTGAAGAGGCAGCACATTTTGAATCAGTTCCATAGGCTCAATGAATTGGTTGATGGCAGTCATAGTTTCCTGACAGCGTGGGTTGTTGCTCATAATATCAACCACTAGTTGGCCAGAATCAGATTCAGTAGCATACAGCCTGCTGAGATATCGCCAATCTCCTCAAAATCTTATTTTTTACTCCGATATGATCTCTCTGCTTGAAGATCTGATGATTCCTCTAGAGGAAGCCAATCAGCAGCAAGACCTCTAAATTCTCATATCTGGTTTCTGTATATTGTGGACAAAGTAAATCATCCTGTATTACACATACACTCTAAAGGCAGCACCATTATATCACTGTGGATATTTTATTCACCTTGTCGTTTCTGTGTGCCATGGCACATACACCCTAAAGAGTGTACTATTTACGGAATATTTGTGTTCTGTGTTTGTTTTTTTGAATAACCATATAAAGTAGCAAATCAAGGTGGCAAAGAAATGAAGCCAAATCGTCTTAGAAATCCAACATCTGATTGGCTCAAGAACACAAGCATCTCTTATTTTCATTGGGTGGTTAAAGTTTACCCAGGTTTCACCTGATACTACCCTCTATGCAGGTGTCTTCAGATCTTCACGTAGAGAGTCATCATATCGGAGTCAAGATCTGATTTTAATGCAATTGTGATATAGCTGGAATATCTGACAAACAAAAACCTTGCGCTCGATCACTTCAATCATGACTGGATAACTTTTGAGAGGAAACTGTTGCGAGATTAAGAACATTTACTGGCCCAAAAGACTATTTTTTATTCGCTCACCTGAGGCAAGTCAGCAGTTTCATGAGCTAGGTTAAATAAGACGGAAGCTAATCCTACCTACGAGTTCGAACGTCCAGTAAACTGTGTCTGACTAACAAATCCCATTATTTGGGATTACACTTTCTTATCAAAGTACACATTATAGTACTAATTTTGGTTGAATCCCATCTGGGATTCGAGCCCACACTCTCAGAGTGAGGCACCTAATTGCCAGCACACAAAGTCAGTGATCTAACCCACTAACCCGAGGCTTCCCCAAAATGGAAGTCTGACAACTGGTAGTCCAGATCACGTACTTTGTGTACCCCTCTGACAAGAGTTAATTGGCACATCTCCCATGGCCGAAAGCTATGAATACACAATGCCCTAAAGAAGGTGGTCAAATGTAACAAGTGCTGTATATGGGTACATATCTAGACTACCGGTAGTCAGTCTTCCATTTTAACATGTTAACTAACATGACAGGGTACATCGACCCATGTCTCCCTCATGACTGGTGGACAACGTTTTTGTAATATATGTCATCCCTTAAAGACTTACCAGTTGCAGCAATCGATGTTTAGATCCTGAAAGGCAGATAAAACATGTCTATGATATGAGTAAAATGATATAAATTAGACAGACTATTTGGGGATACAAGAATACAGTCTGAATTCTTTACCAAACACTATGTAAAATGAAATGAAATACTCGACATGCAGCTAGACTTTTATAAACATCTTCAAAAATATTTTAAGAGCGATCTTCCCATGATAATCTATTGCTCTACTTTATTTGCACACCATAACATCATTCTCACCAATCAGAATGGGCCTGGCTATCTTGAGAGTGACGATATCTCCGGCCATCTGCAACATGTTGATCGCCACAGACAAAGGTTTCGCTCGGGTCAGTTTCCCGTTGATGGCCAAAAGACGATCACCAATGTGAATAGCACCTGTCCTGATGAACCAAATACACATTATTATGTAGTTGCCGATCTATGTACTATACAGCTGGAAAGAAGTTAAACAACACTCCTTTATTTACATATATTCTGAGCTTCCATCATTGGGAATTCACAGGCTGGTGGAGGCCTGAAATACCCACGGGAACAATCTTCCCCATGCAAGGGAGTTCACAGACTATAAAAGTCCACTTTCCACACTTGCGAAACTAGACTGGAATGAGATGTGGAGGCCTGAAATACCCATGGGAACTGTCCACTGTCCACTTTCCACTGTGGAACTAGACTGGAATGATGGCGTTATATTTTGGCTGGACTAACGAGTCAATGCATAGTCAAAAAAAAATTGTGTAACGAAATCAACATTCAGTCGTAAACTGCCATGCAGATTTTGGTGGCTTGCAGGATATGCAGAACATGTGTAGTGCCAATTCGGTGGTACTCCAAATCTTTTCATATTTTTAATCAAGGTGCTCAGGAGATTTGATGCACCCGTTTTATAACAAAAAAGATCTTGATCATCGATCAGATCGTCTTTAGTGGGTGCAGCCATTTTGTTTGAAGCAAATGTAAGTCATATGAGAGGAAGAATCTGATAGGTCAATAGATCGGACGTAGAAAGAACAAAACTCGTAATAGTTACTGGTGGTGCTATGATCGAGCCCAGAAGTTCCAGTCTAGCTCGGCTAGGGTGGAAACTGGACTTTTGTAGTCAGTAAATGCCCTTGCCTCAGGAAGATGCACGGGGCCCATATCACTTCTATTAAATAGACACACCAAGTTACGATTCCACAAAGCTATCATAGCGCTCAGACGATCGTAACTCCCATATTTTAACATAGACTAATGACAGTCGTAGTGCTGTGATCACTCTGTGGAACGGGTTCTGAACCCTGTTCCATAAAGCAGTCTTACAGCATCATCATAAGACAATGTTAATCATTCATAGTAACTACCATCTTGGCGCGGAGATCGTCTTGCATCTCCATTGAAATAGTGTTATCAATAATTTCTCCATGCATTTATTCTGTAAACTGTACTAATTGACCTACTTCTCTGCGAGTCCCCCTTCGACGAGATCGGAGATGACGATGGGGTCTAGTGGGTCCTCGGTGCCGGTGATGGTCACCCCCAGGGGTCCCCCGTGTCTCTGCAGCTCCACCGTGTACGTCACGCAGCCTTCTGTGTTGTCCTCTGTAACGGATGATACGACATGATTATCTCCCTTTATAGATTACACCATCATCTCGTATGTGGATTTTGGGCAGAAATTCATGACAAAAGTACTTCAGGAAAATTCTCGAACAGACAACCTTTTTATCAACCACTAAGCCACGGAGGTGATGGAATTCCTTGAGAGTTACCTGCGTAAGGGTCTTCCCTCTTGAGCTTCAGTTTGATGATGTCCTCGGAGGACTCCAGAAGGACTAGAGCATCCTCGACAGAGCAGTTGTCCATGCGGACGTCATTGACGGCCAAGAGCTTGTCCCCCGGCTGCACTGAGCCGCATCTACAGACGACAGACATACACACTTGTGGTTAGAAGGAATCATGAAGGAGTGACATCTTTTGTTGTGGACACTACAGCCTAAGGTAGTGAGTGAGTGAGTGAGTATGGTTTTATGCTGCTTTTAGCAATATTCCAGCAATTTCATGGCGGGGGACACCAGAAATGGGCTCCACACATTGTACCCATGTCGGGAATCGAACCCCGGTCTTCGGCGTGACGAGCGAACGCTTTAACCACTAGGCTACCCGACCGCCCCACAGCCTAAGGTAAATCCACCACTGAGTAAATGGTTTTGCTGTGACAAGTTGGTCAAATATGCAGGGGTCTTTTTGGGTGAATTGGACAGCTACATCCCTGTTGGTCGAAGCTGTTAATCAGATCAACTCTGTGAGCCTTGGTATGTCAGCACTACAACTGTGCTCTTGGATTAAAGACTCCACAACTGTCTGCCCATACTATTTGTTTGCTTGTTGTTTTACGCCACACTGAGCGATATTCCTGCTACATATGACGGTGGTCTGACCACCCTGGGCGGTGGGGTAGCCTAGTGGTTAAAGCGTTTGCTCGTCATGCAGAAGACCTGGGTTCGACTCCCCATATGGGTACAATGTGTGAAGCCCATTTTCCACACGACAACAATCTTTGAACACACTCAATATCGTAAAAATGGATGTACCATACTACATCACTAATCCTTGTGTTATGTGTAATTTGTCATGCTTTCTCGGGCTTGACGTAATCAAACAGTGGCTACTTCAAGGTTATGTGCACATCTTCCCCGGCCATAACGTTTTACAGCAATGTTGTCACTAATTTATGTCATCTCATGACACAGTCATGAGAAAGCTGAGATCATATATATTTAGACTAGTGAATGCATCTATATTTCTGTCAGACTGTCAGTATGTCATATACGGTAACACACTAGCCGAGACTGTCAGTATGTCATATACGGTAACACACTAGCCGAGACTGTCAGTATGTCATATACGGTAACACACTAGCTGAGACTGTCAGTAAGTCATATACGGTAACACACTAGCCGAGACTGGTGGTATGTCATATACGGTAACACACTAGCTGAGACTGTCAGTATGTCATATACAGTAACACACCAGCTGAGACTGTCAGTATGTCATATACGGTAACACACTAGCCGAGACTGTCAGTATGTCATATACGGTAACACACTAGCCGAGACTGTCAGTATGTCATATACGGTAACACACTAGCCGAGACTGTCAGTATGTCATATACGGTAACACACTAGCCAAGACTGGCAGTATGTCATATACGGTAACACACTAGCCGAGACTGTCAGTATGTCATATACGGTAACACACTAGCCAAGACTGTCAGTATGTCATATACGGTAACACACTAGCTGAGACTGTCAGTATGTCCACCCTGCACTGACCTGTACGAGACACTGCCTTTCCTGACGCCCGTGATGATGAGCTGGTCTCCCAGCTTCCGCTGGGCCTGAGCTATAACCGGGGGACACCCATCAGTCAAAGTCTTGTCTTGAACCCAACTCCTCGTGGGACAATCTGGTTGGGACAGGCCACCAATACATGTTAATGTTTACCAGGCAAATGTACACGTCAATAAGTAACTACATGTAATGAATAAAGTATGAGTGAGTGAGTGATTTGGGTTAAATCCATTTCACACTATATTTCAGTTATATTACAGCATCACAGCTTGATGTGGGAGAAAAGCCCGAAGTGATGCAGGTCTCAGATCTGAACCACTTTGTGAAACCCACGAGCATGGGTACGGAGCATACAAACTAAGAAACTAAATCAGGGAGAATCTGGGATTCGATCCACATAGGTTCCTGGCATACCAAAGGGATGCAACTCTGCACAGCGAACTGAACCACCTTAGACAACTGAGCCACCAGTGCCCCACCAGTCCCTGATGAAAAGAATACTACGTTTGAGATTCTAACAGTACTATTCCCTTTCAGTGAAACAACTGCTTGACTGATGTAGAGTGTAGCTGTATGGCTGTTGTCTCCCGCCCCGCCCCGCCCCGCCCCGCCCCGGCCCGGCCCGGCCCGGCCTGGCTACTGAACTTACCGATGATGGTCATGCCGAGGCCGCCGGGCTTCTTGGGAATGCGAACAACGTAGGTTCCAGAACTTGGTGTCACTGATTCTGAAACCCCAGATACATCAGATCATGTTAATGTCACAAACTTCATAACCTCATCTTGTAATTAATGTCAGATCCTCTTATCTCATCCCAGAAACACTTATGTGACCCTGTGTGTGTGTGCGTGCGTGTGTGTGTGCATGCATGAAATGGGTGTCCGTGTTTGTTGTTTAATGTCCAACATTCCAGCTATATGACTTTGGCCTGTAGATATCAGTCTGTAACAATTATTACAGTGATTGATATTATGAGCACCGATCCACAATATCACATCATCCATGTCATCAAGTCTGACCACCGATCCATTTGGTTGCCTCTTACGACAAGCACAAGTTGCTGTGGACCCGATCTAACCCTGTCAAGAACATCTGTCTTGTTATGTAACAGTTTGAAAAAAACAAGACCTGTCTTGTTATATATAACTTTTCCCCCTCATTTCTTAGTCACGATCCTAAAATGGTAAATATCTGCATGCTGTAAATCTGGAAGGTTCTTCGAGGAGAAAAATACTGCGAAAACTGCAGGTGAAACACACTCGCGATAGTTTCATGACGCTGTTGTTTCTGCAGACCAACAACATACAATAACCAGAATCTGTAGTCTAACAATGACTGACTGACACTGAGTTACCATTTCATCATGTCGCTTCCAGTGTCTGAAATAACTGCCTGCCCCCCTGCCCGTGGCTGGTAACTTTTCTGTCGGGCTGCATGAAATATACCTCAACCTGTCTGACTGTCTGGCAGATAATTTTAAGATTGCTTATTAATTCAGCTGAATCAAGACATGATTTGTCTCTTAGTTTTTTCGATTTTTCAATATTAATAATGCCTGAATGTTGGCAGGTAACTTTGAAGATGGGCAGGCAACACATCGGCCACCTGCCCGACTGTCTTGTTGGGTTCTAAACTTATTTCAAACATTGGTCACTTCCTATTTATAAAAAATAACACATGCAGAAGTGAGGTGAGGTGAGGTGAAATGGGGTTTAACGTCGCGTCCAAGATTATTGCACTTATATAGGGACGTGCATGTACGTGTGTGTGTTTGTGTGGCTGCTTGTACTAGTCTGGACTGATGCCGATTTATAGTGCTAGCTCACTGAGATACCATACCCCACTCAGACACAGTATACTGACTCCGAGCCGACCAGTCCTTGTTTTAGCCCCTTAATGCCGAGCGCCAGACAGGGTAACATCAAGTACCATCTTTTAACGTCTTTTGGTATGACGCGGTCGGGGATCAGACCCTGGACCTTCCGCTCTCCGGGCGGGCGGTCTACATGCAGAAGTAGCTTTGATATTTGGTGATGTTTACAGTGTGTCGCAAAACTTTCCAGACTCAGTTAAGGCCAATGTCAGCCACTTACAGTAATTTTATGACACAAAACTTTCCAGAGTTACAGTATTTCAGTGTTAGACAAACACTGCAAGTCCATCATGCTCTCACCCGCCACATCAAACTCTATCTCCATCATACACCGTGGCCGCGAGTCTCTCAGCAACTGGTTCACCTCCTCCAGGGTCTTGTCAGACAGGTCCACGCCGTTGACAGTCAGGATCCGATCCCCCTCCTGGATCACCCCACACCTGCAGATACATTCAGCAGTCAGACACTGGTAGCCATAGCAATCTCACAGTGCCATAGTCTAGTGCTGGTACGGAATAATTGAGTGTGTGTTTTGAACTGTACTTCAGTTATCACAGCATGCAAACGTAAGATGGGAGGAAAGTGACCAGAGTACACAAACAGTATGAATGTGATATGCTTGCCAAGATCAGCTCCTGGCACAGCTAAGGGACACAACTCCACTGAAATGTCGTGCATTCAACAACTAGACCGTCCTTGCTTCACGTTTAAAATATCCTATCAATATATTCTACATTATCCTCTTAGGCCAGACGTGGTTTACAAATCCTGTCGAATCCAGAAAATTGAAATGTGAACAAAATATGAACAAATTGAAAAGCAGTGGGTTTTTTATTCCACTGACCAAAAATTCATAAAATTTTATTTAAAAAAACATCTTTACCGTCCCTATCGACAATGATCAATATACATAGGTTATTTAAAATAATACAATTAAAACCTGATTAAAATTTTAAATAAAAACTTTAAAACAACAAATTATAATGAAGCACAACAGATCCATACCTATAATGGAAGGGAGGCTACTCTAGACTTGTTTCCTTCCCTATTCCTCCCACCCTACTTTTTAAAATATTTGCCTTCCTACTTAATATTTTGAGGGGCGGGGAGGGGGGGTTGAATATTTGAAACAACAACAGCAGCAGATAATCAGCTTCCAAGGTCTTACTGTTCAGCAGGACTATTTGGGTCGATGTAGGCGATGACAGGGGGCTCGGACAAGATGGCGGTGGAGAAGACGCCGCCCTCCAGTGTGATCCCGAGGCCCTTCTTGTCACAGAACAACATGACCTCCGTGGCCTCAGGGTGACACACCTGGTTGTTGGCGGTCAGGACGGATGTGGTGTTGGAGGCGATCGACACTGTAACAAGAGGACACACTGGTTTATCTGCATGTTACAGTTTGTGTGTTTGTTTGTTTGTTTGTTGTTTAACGCTGCACTCAGCAGTATTCCAGCTGTATGGAGGCGGTCTGTAAATAATCAAGTCTGGACCAGACAATCCAGTGATTGACATCATGAGCATCGATATACGCAATTGAGATATGATGACCAAGTTGCATCAACCAAGTCAGCAACCTGACCACCTCCTGTTAGTCGCCACTTAAGACAAGTATGGGTTGCAGAAGACCTATTCTACCTAGGATCTTCACGGGTCGCATGTTACAGTACCTTTACCTTACGTGTACTTTTACATGGCTGCTGGCTACTGGGAGAAAGACTGGACTTTCTGTTGGCGCCACAAAATAACAAGTAGGATAAGAGTCAATTTTGGTTCACTGGAAATTTGTCGAACACATTTAAATGACTGTTAACATTTTTTTAAAATTTCTATCTCTTGAATTATATTTCCTATGACATGGTCAAAACATAAACGTATATCTGATGAGTGAATCAATGTATTCACTGACTAGGAAAGCCCAGATGTTTGGCCGGATGTTTGGCCCAGATGTTTGGCCTGGATGTTTGGCCAGAATGTTTGGTTTGGATGTTTGGCCTTGATGCTTTTTGGTATGGCGGGGCCAGACGATAAAACCAGCGACCTTACGCTCTCTGGGCAGACGCTCTATCCACTACACCACTGAGGCAGTCTCCGGATAGATGCTCTGTATACTATACCACTGAGGCGATCTCCGGATAGATGCTCTATCCACTACACCACAGAGGCAGTCTCCGGATAGATGCTCTATTCACAACACCACAGAGGCGGTCTCCAGATAGATGCTCTATCCACTACACCACAGAGGGGGTCTCCGGATAGATGCTTTATTCACAACACCACAGAGGCAGTCTCCGGATAGATGCTCTATCCACTACACCATGGAAGCGGTCTATGGATAGATGCTCTATCCACTAAACCATGGAGGCGGTCTCCGGATAGATGCTCTATCTACTACACCATGGAGGCGGTCTCCGGATAGATGCTCTATCCACTAAACCATGGAGGCAGTCTCCGGATAGATGCTCTATCCACTAAATCATGGAGGCAGTCTCCGGATAGATGCTCTATCTACTACACCATGGAGGCGGTCTCCGGATAGATGCTCTATCCACTAAACCATGGAGGCAGTCTCCGGATAGATGCTCTATCCACTAAATCATGGAGGCGGTCTCCGGATAGATGCTCTATCCACTAAACCACAGAGGGGGTCTCCGGATAGATGCTTTATCCACTACACCAAGAAGGCAGTTCTAGGTGATGGTCTACTCACTGCAGGAGGATATCTTTCTGTCCGACCGAGTCCAGTTCTTCTTGCTGCGCCCCGAGCCCCGTGATGGCAGAGTGCCGAAGGGTGCGGACGCTGAGGACCCAAGGGTGTTGTAGCTGCGGGTGGGGAGGGTCCCAAAGCCATTGAAGGAGGAGATGGACGGCGGCAACTGCGGCAGATTGGGGGAGGAGGCAGCGGGGATGTTGGCCAGAGCTGGAAAGACGTGTTAAACATACGGACTGAACATGGTGCTGGTTAAGTACATCTGCACTCAGCAAGAGATATTTTACTCAGCTTCTAAAACAACAGGAAAACATGTTAGCAGGCTAAAACATCACGGGGAGTCTGCAACACCTTGTGACAGATGACAGACAGTGTGTTTATAATAAAAGAGAAGTTAACTTCAGGTGACATCAAAGAATTATGAGAACACCTCCATGACATGCAAGTTGATGCTACCCTGCTCTGCTACACCCGGAGTTATCTTCCCACTAAGAGTGAGTGAGTGAGTTGGGTTTTACGCCACTTATAACAGTATTCAAGTTATATCACGGCATGTCAGCTTAATGTGGGAGGAAAGCCCGGAGTGATGCAGGTCTCAGAGGTTTACACTTCGGTGAAACCCACGAGCACGGGTATTGTGCTGACAAACCTAGAAACATAATCGGAGCGAACCGGGATTCGAACCCACAATCATAGGTTTCTGGCGTGCCAAAGGGGCGCAACTCTGCACAGAGAATCGCGGAGCCTTAGACGACTGGGCCACCCGTGCCCCCCCTTCCCACTAAGAACAGGGAATAGAACCTGGTCATTTGTTCTGACAAACAAACACTTTAACCAAAAGGCCACTTTCAATAATTGTTGAAGATAAAAGAAGGCATAAAGGTATCTCAAAGATTACTTCCACAAAGAGTTTGCTTGACTATAATGGAAATATTTAATCTTTCCTAATATTACCCATCGGGGCACAGAATTAGGTGAAAATAGTCTCAGTAATTCTCACTGAGCAGTATAATGTTTGTTTTCTGTTGATTTGTGAGTTTATCAACTCACATTTATCTGCATTCCTCATTATAAATACCATGGATATAAATAAACAGATATATAATATAGATATAATATTACAAACATTATTCAGTTTGGGTATAGATAATTCATAATTCCTTGTACAGTTTCATTAAAATCAGATCTTTGTCCTCACTACTGCTATACAATGATCTGAAGACATCCCAGTATGAATCACATCATATCAAACTTTCATCAATCTAATCCAAGCTTATTGGCTTATGTCGAATTCTTGTTAGCCATTTCATTGGTCGGTCAAAGTTCGTGAAAGCTCGTTGTTATGTGACCTGTAATAGAATGTCCTCAGATCTTTGTTTAGCTGTAGTGAGAACTAAAACCTAATTTTGATGAGATTGTTCCTCGTAGAACATATGTTATTTTCTAAATATCCTGTGGGTACTACTTTATGAGTCCCGTGTATTTATCAAACATGGTTGACTGGATACATTTTGTGCGACCTCTAACAAGGATGACAAGTAACCAATCTGAGTGACCTGTTTTGGTCAGCGCCTCCCTCGATGCCTTGTACTCAAGATGTGTGACGGGCAGGATCTCCAGCTTGATCTGCTCCTCTGGTCCAGACTTCATTAACTGGGTTGCCTCGGCAACAGACATGTGTTCCACACTGGCGCCATCTATTGCCAGAATATGGTCCCCAACATGAAGAGCACCACTCCTATAAGGGATAAACACCATTGAATCATTAAACCTTACAAACACTGCAAATAGCTCAAAACAGTTTATACCACAAGTCTTCTAAGATCGTACTAAGATCGTACGGGTGTCAACTGAAAATTGAGCCTTTTTAATATTTTCAGTTTAATTGCCTGACCATACAATAACATAGTAATTCTGTAAAAATTTGAAAAAACCCGGATTTGTCTATGCTGCGCTATGCTGTGGCATGTAGCTGTGTTATGCTGTGGTGTGTAGCTGTGTTATGTTGTGGTGCTATGCTGTGTTATGTAGCGGTGTAACACTGTGGTGCTATGCTGTGTTATGCTGTGGTGTGTAGCTGTGTAACACTGTGGTGTGTAGCTATGTTATGCTGTGGTGTGTAGCTGTGTAATGCTGTGGTGTGTAGCTGTGTCATGCTGTGGTGTGTAGCTGTGTTATGCTGTGGTGCTATGCTGTGGTGCTATGCAATGTAATGCTGTGGTGTGTAGCTGTGTTATGCTGTGGTGTGTAGCTGTGTTGTGTAGCTGTGCTATGTTATGTTGTGTAGCTGTGTTATGCTGTGGTGTGTAGCTGTGTTGCTATGCTGTGTAATGCTGTGGTGTGTAGCTGTGCTATGCTGTGTTATGTAGCTGCGTTATGCTGTGGTGTGTAGCTGTGTTATGCTGTGGTGTGTAGCTGTGCTATGCTGTGGTGTGTGGCTGTGTTATGTTGTGGTGTGTAGCTCTGTTACACTGTGGTGTGTAGCTGTGTTATGCTGTGGTGTGTAGCTGTGCTATGCTGTGGTGTGTAGCTGTGCTATGCTGTGTTATGTAGCTGCGTTATGCTGTGGTGTGTAGCTGTGTTATGTAGCTGCATTATACTCTGGTGTGTAGCTGTGCTAGGCTGTGTTATGCTGTGGTATGCTGTGTTATGCTCTGGTGTGTAGCTGTGCTATGCTGTGTTATGTAGCTGCTTTATGCTGTGGTGTGAAGCTGTGTTATGCTGTGGTGTGTAGCTGTGCTATGCTCTGGTGTGTAGCTGTGTTATGCTGTGGTGTGTGGCTGTGTTATGCTGTGGTGTGTAGCTCTGTTACACTGTGGTGTGTAGCTGTGTTATGCTGTGGTGTGTAGCTGTGCTATGCTGTGGTGTGTAGCTGTGCTATGCTGTGTTATGTAGCTGCATTATGCTGTGGTGTGTAGCTGTGCTATGCTGTGTTATGTAGCTGTGTTATGATGTGGTGTGTAGCTGTGTTATGCTGTGGTGTGTAGCTGTGTTATGTAGCTGCATTATGCTGTAGTGTATAGCTGTGTTATGCTGTAGTGAGTAGCTCTGTTACACTGTGGTGAGTAGCTGTGTTATGCTGTGATGTGTAGCTGTGCAACGCTGTTGTGTGTAGCTGTACTATGCTGTGTTATGGTGTGTTGTGTATCTGTGTTATATAGCTGCATTATGCTGTGGTGTGTAACTGTGTTATGCTGTGGTGTGTGGCTGTGTTATGCTGTGGTGTGTAGCTGTGTAACACTGTGGTGTGTAGCTGTGCTATGCTGTGGTGTATAGCTGTGTTATGCTGTGGTGTGTAGCTGTGTAACGCTGTGGTGATCCCATGCAGACCTTATTGTCATGCTGATTGTAAATGGGTACAGAATGTGTTAAATAGTAAAGTAGAGGCAACAGATAAATAAGGCAAGAGTATTTGTGGACGAAAACAGGGTGCGTGTGGATGGCGTCATCCGAACAGTATTCACTGAGTTAGCAGAATTGTAACATTCCGCCATGGCAAGGCAAACAGGAATAGCACTGGCTACTTTGTACAACCTCCTGAGAAACAGCAGGCAGGAAGATTTAGACTGCCTCTGTAGAAGCAGTAGCTGAGAACCCAGCGTTAGGTGTTATGGATGTGCAGTCCCGCCAGCACCATGCCCACCCCACCTAGTTTATTGAAAGATCTGTAAAATATATACAAAAGATTGTTTGAAGTTTGGGATTGAGGTGTGTAGCTGTGTACTCCTGTGGTCTTACCTGTCTGCCACACTCATGGGTGCGATGGTATCGACACAGACACAGCGGCGCCCCTGGTGAGCACTCTGTGACAGTGTGATCCCGAGGGCTGCCCCCGGCATCTTGTCAATCTCCACCAGCAGGGGGCCATTGGCGTTCTGTACGGACTCTGGGGAGAGAGGGATCAAGATGACCAACTGTCACACATACATCATATCAGGGTGGGTAAGAGTGGGGACAATGCTGCTTTGAACAGTGGGTGGCTGAGTAAGGCTTAACACCACCTTCAAAAGTACTCCAGTAACATCACATTCATGTGGGAAGAAAGTCTGAAGTGACATTTTTCATTTTGTGAAATCCTTGAACATGGGAATGTTTCTGGCAAACCAAGAATCCCCACACTCACTCATGACAGCCACATCGTACTCGATGGAGAAGACACCCTGCTTACACTCACAGCCTCATGCCTACAGAACTGATACAATGACTGTCCAGCCCCACACTCACTCATGACAGCCACGTGGTACTCGATGGAGAAGACACCCTGCTTACACTCACAGCCTCATGCCTACAGAACTGATACAATGACTGTCCAGCCCCACACTCACCCATGACAGCCACGTCGTACTCGATGGAGAAGACAGCCTGCTTACACTCACAGCCTCATGCCTACAGAACTGATACACTGATTGTCCAGCCCCACACTCACCCATGACAGCCACATCGTACTCGATGGAGAAGACGCCCTGCTTACACTCACAGCCTCATGCCTACAGAACGGATACAATGACTGTCCACCCCACGCTCTCTCATGACAGCCACATCGTACTCGATGGAGAAGACAGCCTGCTTACACTCACAGCCTCATGCCTACAGAACTGATACAATGACTGTCCAGCACCACACTCACCCATGACAGCCACGTCGTACTCGATGGAGAAGACACCCTGCTTACACTCACAGCCTCATGCCTACAGAACTGATACAATGACTGTCCAGCCCAAACACTCACTCATGACAGCCACGTCGTACTCGATGGAGAAGACGCTCTGCTTGTACACTCACAGCCTCACGCCTACAGAACTGATACAATGACTGTCCAGCCCCACACTCACTCATGACAGCCACGTCGAAAATCGATGGAGAAGACGCTCTGCTTACACTCACAGCCTCATGCCTACAGAACTGATACAATGACTGTCCAGCCCCACACTCACCCATGACAGCCACGTCGTACTCGATGGAGAATGCACCCGGCTTACACTACCAGCCTCATGCCTACAGAACTGATACAATGACTGTCCAGCCCCACACTCACCCATGACAGCCACGTCGTACTCGATGGAGAAGACAGCATCATGCTCACACTGCTGCATAAACGCCATGGTCTCCGACAGACTGAGGTGGGTCACCTTGTAGTTGTTGATGAAGATGATGCGGTCACCCTCCTTCAACGAGCCCTCCCTGGAAGCACCAACATCGGAGTCTTACACTGAGACAGACTCCACACATATAAACTTACTGTACTCTTGGACACTAAAACCACAATGTGGCTCTAATATTGCTGACTTGACTTTAAATTATAACTCACTCACTCTTTCAGACTACCATTGGACCATTACATGTTTACAAATACACCTTCTCCAAAAAATTGAATTACGATTCTTTTGTTATGAAAAGCAGTGTTTTTTATTCCGCTAATCAGAAACATGAAGCACGACCCGAGGTGGAGGCATGGATTATTTTTTACTTCATTCATTGAAAACGCAGTCCACTGAGATAGAAATGAAAGGACCTGTCAGGCACAAGGCTGTACCTGTCTGCCGCCCCCCCGGGCCGGATGCTGGTGATGGTGAGGGGGTGGGCCCTCATCTGGTCGATCTTCATCCCCCCACGCAGCGTGAACCCGAAGCCCATCCCGTCCCGGTCCAGCACCACCTCCGCTGTCTTGCACTGCACACTGAATGACGTCCCACCTTCACACACAGGAGAAAACACTCATGTACATCCAGGATCAAACATGGATGGGTAGGGTGACACGCCATCAGCCAGATCTCACACTGTGCCGTCAGGTGAAATGGGGTTAAATGTTGCACTTACACAGTGACATACACCAACTAGTCGAGACTAATGCCAGTTTCATTCTGCTGGCCTGCTGAGATACCATGTCGCAGTTTTACATGAATACCCCACTCAGACACAGATGACTGACTCCTTGCAACCAGTCCTTGTTTTATCCCCTCAATGCCAACACCAGGCAGGGTAACAACAACCACCATTATCTACCGTCTTTTGGTATGATGCAGCCGGGGACCGAACCCCCGACCTTCTGCTCTACGGGCAGATGCTCTATTCACTCTAGCTCCAGTTCGAAATGTTCAAAATCTTTTTTCCTTATGAAAATATTTCCCGGTTGAATATTCATTATGAATGTTTATGTGTAACAATGTTTGGATTAAATGAATGAGAAAACATACTTTACGGATAATATCTTCTGGTTTATTGCATATGGCAACCTTTCAATAAACCAGAAGTTGTTATCCGTAAAGTAGTTTATTTTCTTATTTACTCACCAACTTCAAGAACACCAATCCCACAGTTAGTAAATGAATGGTTGCACATTTGAACTTAACATGTGACCTAAGATATTAGGAACATTAATATGAGTGAGTGAGTGAGTTTGGTTTTACGCCACTTTTAGCAATATTCCAGCAATATCAAGGCGGGGGACACCAGAAATGGGCTTCACACATTGTACCCATGTCGGGAATCGAACCCGGGTCTTCAGCGTGACGAGCGAATGCTTTAACCACTAGGCTACCCGACCGCCCCTCACATTAATATGAAATACTGCATCAGTATGGGGTAATGCATCGATCATCTATTTTTATCAATAATGGGGGCATGATCCAGGGCCTGGGCACACCAGAAACCTATGATTGTGGGTTCGAATCCCGGTTCGCCCCGATTATGTTTCTAGGTTTGTCAGCACCATACCCGTACTTGTGGGTTTCACCGAAGTGGTAAACGTCTGAGACCGGCATCACTTCGGGCTTTCCTCCCACATTAAGCTGACACGCTGCGATGTAACTGGAATACTGTTATAAGCGGCGTTAAAACCCAAATCACTCACTCCAGAGCCTACTTGCACAGAGCAATCTTAGTTACAGTTGATGTCAGGCACCTACAATCACCATACAATTGTCCTATTCCACTTGCATAAACGGATCCTAGCGCGAATGCAAGGCCGCTTGGATTTCCAACCGCAGAATTCGCTAAAGCTATTGACGTGAAACAGACCCCATCTTGCACACTATTTTGTCAAGTTTATTCAGGGTCTACGGTGAACTTAGCTACTTAAGATTGGTCTGGACTGTTTTGTGCAAGTGGATGACGTTTGTAGCCGAAGCCATGAATTTACAGGATTCACAATAATTTACATAGCACTAAGACTGCGTATTGTCATAAAATATGCAAAAAAAATTCCTCATTCCCCAAATAATTTGAAAATAAATATACAAGTTTATGCAATTAAATATACAAGTTTATGCAACATGCTACATACTTATAGCTGCATGCAGATACAAATTAGAAACTGCTTGGAAACAGCATTTAAGTAGAATTATTTAAAAAACTGTCTACTTACTGATGTAAACTAACCAATAGATAGGACACAAGGGAGTAGACATACAATAAATACCCAAAGAAAACCATCAATACCCAATGTGAATGATAACTTGTGAGTAAATACTCAATAACTAAAATAATCACTATGCGAATCATTCACAACTGTAACAGCATCCTGTAGCTCACCTATATCTGGCAGCTCGTACTCCACCTCCAGGATGATTCGTTCCCCAGCATTCTTGAGCAGGTTGACAATCTCGTCATGCTTCAGGTTTGCCGTGCGGATCCCGTTCACAGACAGAATGTAGTCACCCTCTGTCAGCGAGTCTGACCTGCACACAACAATACTTGTTACCTAGCAACACAGTCACCCTCTGTCAGCGAGTCTGACCTGCACACAACAACACTTGTTACCTAGCAACACAGTCACCCACTGTCAGCGAGTCTGACCTGCACACAACAACACTTGTTACCTAGCAACACAGTCACCCTCTGTCAGCGAGTCTGACCTGCACACAACAACACTTGTTACCTAGCAACACAGTCACCCACTGTCAGCGAGTCTGACCTGCACACAATAACACTTGTTACCTAGCAACACAGCCACCCTCTGTCAGCGAGTCTGACCTGCACACAATAACACTTGTTACCTAGCAACACAGCCACCCTCTGTCAGCGAGTCTGACCTGCACACAACAATACTTGTTGCCAAGCAACACTGTCACCCACTGTCAGCGAGTCTGACACACACAAAAACACTACCACTCGTACAAGTTAATCAACCATTGGAGCGCAGGGCTAAATCTGTACCCTCGTAAACAGTTTTAAACAGTAAAGTCCTTATGAATACAAATGCCATTCTAAACTAAACATTACATTCTTTCTGAGAGAATTATTTTTAAATTATCAAAGTGTTATCTTTATAAGCTATGCCAAGAAATCAGGATATCACATGGATTTATCAATATTCTTACTAAACTCCTTGAAGTACAGTACAGTCATGTGTTCAGTCAATGGAGTGTGCAACAACAAGGGAGCTAACTCTGCTGTACCTGTGTGCTATTCCTCCCGGTCGGAGTTTGGAGATGTGTGGTCTTGATCCTTTGTCTGTTCCACCTGCAAGACAAGAAGATTGATTGATTGATGGTTGGTTGGTTGGTTGCTTGGTTGGTTGGTTGCTTGGTTGGTTGATTAAGTTTCATAGTAGAGCCATCAACATCACAACCTTCTCACCATAAGCTTCAAAGAATTTAGTTTGTTTTTTAAAATGTTAAAAGCCACACTCCGAAATATTCCAGCTATCTGATGGCAGCATGTTAATTAAAACTGGACCAGACAAACAAGTGATTGATGTTATGAGTAAAGACCAACATCATTGACACACAAACAACCAAGTCTGCCCTCCAAATCTATTTTCCCTGAAGAAAATAACAGGATATAATGGCATTTCAGCTTTGTGTGTTTAATGCTGCTTTCAGCAAAATGCCACCCTTACACAATGAGGAACACAGGTAGTTCTACCATTTCGGAGTTATCATCAGGGCCCAGTTTCACAAAGCGACACTTGCCGTAAAAGGTGACTATGCTTGTCGTAAAATGCGACCAACGGGATCGGGTGGTCAGGCTCGCTGACTTGGTTGATGCATGCCATCGATCCCATATGCGTAGATCGATGCTCATGATATTAATCACTGGATTGTCTGGTCCAGACTCGATTATTTACAGACCGCCGTCATATAGCTGGAATATTGCTGAGTGCGGCGTTAAACAGCAAACCAACCAACAACCAACCAACAAAGCGACTTTATAGCTACAACTGATGAACATCTATGTCAAAATATGTGACTTAAAATCATTTCAGCTTTGTGTGGGCAGAGGTAAGGTGAAATTGGGTTTAATGTCATGAACACGATTATTGCACTTAAAATTCATAATATATTTCACTAAAGGTTCAAAACACCATGATTAAGCCCAAATCATAAAGGCTGGCATCTTAGCCAGAATGAGGAGGAGGAATCCAGGATTCAAACCCACGACCAACAGATCTTGGCAGCTAATGGATGCTCCCTCTGCACAGCAAGCTGAGACCCCGTCAATGACTGGTCCCTGTCGTGTAAGCTGTAGTTTGTGTATGTGTTCGGGGCCTACCTGAGACGGTGAGTCCGAGGCCATAGCCTTCCTTCTTCTGTAGCTCCACATAGGCCACGCCCCGTCTCTCCTCTGTAACACAGAACACTCGTCACATACATACTCTCTAGACCCGTGAAGATCTGGGTTAGAATAGGTCCTCTGTAACACAGAACACTCGTCACATACATACATACTCTCTCGACCCGTGAAGATCTGGGTTAGAATAGGTCCTCTGTAACAGAACACACACGTCACATACATACTCTCTCGACCCGTGAAGATCTGGGTTAGAATAGGTCCTCTGTAACAGAACACACACGTCACATACATACTCTCCCGACCCGTGAAGATCTGGGTTAGAATAGGTCCTCTGTAACAGAACACACACGTCACATACATACTCACTCCACCTGTGAAGATCTGGGTTAGAATGGGTCATCTGTAACACAGAACATACACTTCACATACATACTCTCTCGACCTGTGAAGATCTGGGTTAGAATAGGTCTTCTGTAACACAGAACACACGTCACATACATACTCTCCCGACCCGTGAAGATGTGGGTTAGAATAGGTCCTGTCACACAGAACACACATGTCACATACATACTCTCTCGACCCGTGAAGACCTGGGTTAGAATAGGTCCTCTGTAACACAGATCACACGTCACATACATACTCTCTCGACCCGTGAAGACCTGGGTTAGAATACGTCCTCTGTAACACAGATCACACGTCACATACATACTCTCTCGACCCGTGAAGATCTGGGTTAGAATAGGTCCTCTGTAACACAGATCACACGTCACATACATACTCTCTCGACCTGTGAAGATCTGGGTTAGAATAGGTCCTCTGTAACACAGATCACACGTCACATACATACTCTCTCGACCCATGAAGATCTGGGTTAGAATAGGTCTTCTGTAACACAGAATACACACATCACATACATACTCTCTCGACCCGTGAAGATGTGGGTTAGAATAGGTCCTGTCACACAGAACACATGTCACATACATACTCTCTCGACCCATGAAGATCTTGGTTAGAATAGGTCTTCAGCAACCCATGCTTGTCGTAAGAGGTGCATAACGGGATCGGGTGGTCAGGCTCGCTGACTTGGTTGATGCATGTCATCGTATCCCAATTGCGTGGATCAATGCTCATGATATCAATCACTGGATTGTCTGGTCCAGACTCGATTATATACAGACAGCCTTCATATAGCTCGAATATTGCTGAATGCGGCACTAAACAACAAACAAACAAACAAACACATACTGTATGACATCAGCTTGTAAACAAACCAGACCAGACAATCCAGTGATCAATATCCTGAGCAGGGATCAATGCTGTAGGGTAAGATGACACGCCCATCTATTTAGTCACATCTAACGACCAGCATAGGTTGCTGGGGACCTATTCTAACACAGGATCCCCGCGGGGTTGTTTAAATGACCTTATCTAGGTCATGATAAACTCATTATTTGATTTTAACCTCTGCACATCCCCATCCAGACAAAAAACTCACATACATATTCCAAGCAAACATTCATTCTTCATGAAAATCACATCTGTTAAAAGTTAGTGTACACAGACGCATTGTACAAAATGTTTATATGATTACAAATCATTTTTTTAAAAAAAAGCTTCTTCCACTCCTTTTCAAAAGATTTGGATGAAAATCTGGTACAATCTCATCTTTATCTGGCAAAGAGGATACAATAATATTGTGAAAGGCAACTTGGTGATATAGAATTTCGAGTTAAGAGCTTGAATCATAAAACTAATTTCCATATTGTTATTTTGGTCCAGCTATGTCACAAGCAGTATTTAATCAGGATGTATGGCCATGGTGTAATAGGGGTGGGGTATTCACAAGAATTGTTTACATTTGTTATGATTACCATCAAAACGATACTAAAATTGCCAATCAATGACACATCTAATTTCAGGGGCAAAACCATCAGAGCCTCAGAATGAGGTCTGACTGTAGCCTACTGACTGTAAGCTACAGATTGTAACCACTGTAACCTACTGACTGTAACCCACTAACTGTAACCTACAGAGTGGAACCTACTAACTGTAAGCTACAGACTGTAACCATGGTAACCTACTGACTGTAACCTACAGATTGTAACCCACTAACTGTAACCCACAGACTGTAACTTACAGAGTGTAGCCTACTGACTGTAAGCTACAGACTGTAACCATGGTAACCTACTGACTGTAACCTACAGACTGTAACCCACTGACTGTAACCTACTGACTGTAAGCTACAGACTGTAACCATGGTAACCTACTGACTGTAACCCACAGACTGTAACCTACAGAGTGTAACCTACTGACTGGAAGCTAGACTGTAACCATGGTAACCTACCGACTGTAACCTATTGACTGTAACCCACAGACTGTAACTACTAACCTACAGACTGTAACCCACAGACTGTTGCCTACAGAATGTAAACTACAGACTGTAACCTTCAGAATGTAACCTACAGACTGTAACCATGGTAACCTACTGACTGTACTGACCATCAATCTCCTGGTTGCCGAGAGGGGCATCTGTGACTGGCCGCAGCTGGACTGGGTCTGAAACACACATTACACACATCAGTCACACACTGGATTACACACATCTGTCACGACCGACTGTGAAGATGTACTCTGGGCACTTATAAGTAAACTAAGACTTATTTCATCACATACAGAGTGGTAGGAAATGTATGATATATTCAAACTGTAAAGTCTACTGAATTCATCATACAGGTGCTAGATAGTTCATCATACAGGTGCTAGATAGTTCATCATACATGTGCTAGATAGTTCATCATACAGGTGCTAGATAGTCCAGCATACTGGTGCTAGATAGTCCAGCATACAGGTGCTAGATAGTCCAGCATACTGGTGTTAATAAGTCCAGCATACAGGTGCTAGATAGTTCATCATACAGGTGCTAGATAGTCCAGCATACAGGTGCTAGATAGTTCATCATACTGGTGCTAGATAGTCCAGCATACAGGTGCTAGATAGTCCAGCATACAGGAGCTAGATAGTCCATCATACAGGTGCTAGATAGTTCATCATACTGGTGCTAGATAGTTCATCATACTGGTGCTAATAAGTCCAGCATACAGATGCTAGATAGTCCAGCATACAGGTGCTAGATAGTCCATCATACAGGTGCTAGATAGTTCATCATACAGGTGCTAGATAGTCCAGCATACAGGTGCTAGATAGTTCATCATACTGGTGCTAGATAGTCCATCATACAGGTGCTAGATAGTCCAGCATACAGGAGCTAGATAGTCCATCATACAGGTGCTAGATAGTCCAGCATACAGGTGCTAGATAGTCCAGCATACTGGTGTTAATAAGTCCAGCATACAGGTGCTAGATAGTTCATCATACAGGTGCTAGATAGTCCAGCATACAGGTGCTAGATAGTTCATCATACTGGTGCTAGATAGTCCAGCATACAGGTGCTAGATAGTCCAGCATACAGGAGCTAGATAGTCCATCATACAGGTGCTAGATAGTCCAGCATACAGGTGCTAGATAGTTCATCATACTGGTGCTAATAAGTCCAGCATACAGATGCTAGATAGTCCAGCATACAGGTGCTAGATAGTCCATCATACAGGTGCTAGATAGTCCATCATACAGGTGCTAGATAGTCCAGCATACAGGTGCTAGATAGGCCAGCATACAGGTGCTAGATAGGCCAGCATACAGATGCTAGATAGTCCAGCATACAGGTGCTAGATAGTCCAGCATACAGGTGCTAGATAGTTCAGCATACAGGTGCTAGATAGTCCAGCATACAGGTGCTAGATAGGCCAGCATACAGGTGCTAGATAGGCCAGCATACAGGTGCTAGACAGTCCAGCATACAGGTGCTAGATAGTCCAGCATACAGGTGCTAGATAGTTCATCATACAGGTGCTAGATAGGCCAGCATACAGGTGCTAGATAGTCCAGCATACTGGTGCTAGATAGGCCAGCATACAGGTGCTAGATAGTCCAGCATACTGGTGCTAGATAGGCCAGCATACAGGTGCTAGATAGTCCAGCATACTGGTGCTAATAAGTCCAGCATACAGGTGCTAGATAGTCCATCATACAGGTGCTAGATAGTCCAGCATACAGGTGCTAGATAGTTCATCATACAGGTGCTAGATAGTCCAGCATACAGGTACTAGATAGTCCAGCATACTGGTGCTAGATAGTCCAGCATACATGTGCTAGATAGTTCATCATACAGATGCAGCTGCTGCAAGAGCTATCGTCTGTCCTACAGATCCTATAACAAATATGTCCAATACAGCCGATGCAAGTCTATAATGATTGGCAAGTCAAGATTACTGCAGAATCTGAAAATCACGAACGTCTCTGGGCTCATTTTTATTATATTTTATAACTATTATTTAACAACTGTTTTTTTCTGTGAAATATGCTCAATTCAGAGACTAGATGTTGGTCTACCAGAACTAGAGCAATTCGAGGAACATCCCCCAGGTGACAGTCAGCATCTTTTCTGTATAAGAGTTTCTTTCACCAGTCTTCCATACTTATAAATCATAAAGACTGAACCAAGACACATGGTGGTCGTCGGATCACCAAAAGCGTTTCCCCAACAAGTGATCATAATCTTATCAAACACCACACCAATCCATAATAAACAGCTGGATATTCCGAATAAAATACATGTCACGAAAATAATTGCCATCTGATCCTCTAATGTCATAAACCAATATGGTTGAACGCTGAACCAGAACAACATCTTCTAGCCGTTATCTCTCCATTAAACCGAATGAGTGCTCCTCCCACAGCATGGGATGGGGACGAAGGAGAGAGGGGCTATTGACATCCCTCCCTACTCATGGTGGTGGGAGGGAGGTTGTTTACACAAATATGTACTTGTATCAGTAAGATTACTGCATGTTATCAAGTGCTGCACCAGCGGAAACTCGCTATTAAGGTCACAGTTATTCCAGATATATTGCTCCTATGTACTTATGTATTCATAGACCAGACATGTTTTTCATTTCTGAGTTTACAGACTGTGCTTGTGAAACATCGTTGTCGGTAGTTAATAAAAATTAAATTTCACAATTAGCTGATCTTGTCGGGTGTGTTCTTTAACACACTGTTTTCATTTACTGGAAAAAGGGAAAAAATTCACTGCAAATTTATTTTTACAACTTGTATTTTATTTTCATTGGTACAACAGATCAATAAACCAATTTAAATAAAAATATTCTCCTCCCGTATCTATAGTTACCATGGAGTGTGAGTGAAAGTTCTTCTGGAAACAAAAATGTTTCCAAATTAAGGCACGGTTTGTTTGTTGATTGAACTTTTTTATTCAAAGAAATCCTGCCAAAATGTTGCTCGTTTTGTTTGTGATTTATTTGTTTTCACAGTGGCAATGGATCTGATAGTCTCCCTGTTAATCGAGACGACAATATCTTCATGCCTAAGGGACATTTGCAACAACAAAAACAAACCAAAATGACAACTAATGGTTGAATTGTTTGTTTCTACACATACTTGTACAATCCTTAAGATGTATTCCAGGAAACTGCCAAAAAAAACATATTTAGAATCAGCAAAAGAAATAGTTTGCCCGTTTTACAGTGAGTGAGTGAGTGAGTGAGTGAGTGAGTGAGTGAGTGAGTGAGTGAGTGAGTGAGTGAGTGAGTGAGTGAGTGAGTGAGTGAGTGAGTGAGTGAGTGACTTCGACCATTTTTGAGTTATCAGCTAGGGCGATTTTTTCACCTAAAGCTTGTTTATGTCTGTGCAGTCATCATGGTCATAGGTCAGGAGGACTAGTCAGCCTTACACAACAACCCATCCAGTTAACAATGATGTTGTAGCGCCATGGATGCAGCTATGGAATGCAGAGATCAGCATCTCGGATGCCACTTGCTGGAACAGGTCCAGATGAGACACACAGGGAGGCGAAGCCGGCAGGATACAGGCAGGATACCGCCACAGGTTTACTCAGGTAAACAATGGCATACCTTCCCCCATGTCGACATGTGCTACAACTCTGCTGACTTATTCTTACAACGATAAATTAGCATCAGGTGAAATATGATAATGCTACAACCTCTTACAACTGTACAGAAATAGTAGCATCTATTGAGGCTTAATAATCACTATTCCCGAAAACATCTGAATGACAATATTCGCCAGTTCGTTTACAATAGTTTACACTGTAACTATGGTTACAGCTCAAAGGGAATCAAAACACTACATCATATGCCAAATACTTCTTATTGTACAAATTTGATATGGTCTTGTTCTTACACATGTCATTCAAAATCCGACAGACAAAATATATTTCAGTGTCTTAAAATCATGACATTCCTCATATTGAACAAAAGTACACTTGGTTTTACACAGCACAGAAATGTGCATCCAGTATGCACAAATGTATAGAATGCGTACAGAAAAAAAAAATATATTGTGTCCCTTGGGACGCAAATAATATTAATTGTACCAAATTCTTGACAAGAAACATTTTAGATCCTGTAAATAAATGGTAAGTTACGTAATTATCAAATCTTACAGTACACAATTATATTACATTGCAGGACCTTCATATTTAATTTAAATTTTTTAAGGACCCTTGAATTAATTACTGGGATCACTCGGACCTTCAGTTTTAAGCCAAGTTAAAATCTTGGTACAGAAACTGACTACCGGTATCATATCTTCCCTGAAGCTACAGTTGGCAAGTTGACAATACTCAGATGGTGAATGAAGCAGCCACTCCATCCCATGTCCACTTACCAGCATCAGGACCACAGTTATAATGGACACTGTAACTGTAGTAGTAAAACTTGTCCTCCTGTTTTCGTAATCCCTTCAGTTTGGAAACCAACTTCCTGAAAATCCCAAACTTGGTCATTGTTTCGCCATGTGTGCTTTGAGAGCCTGGCCAATTTAACTGATGCAAAGTGGAATGTGACGGTTTGCATTCCAAGCAAGTCACAAAAGCACAGGCATATATATCAAATGGACGACACTATATATATACCATACTTCCTCCAAAAAACTTCATCAGATCCCTGTAATTGGCACCCGGCAGTTTGGTACTCGGCAAGTGATGTGTTGATTTCATTTCCTCTGTTGCTGCAGCCTCATCAGTTGTTCGAAATCCGGATGTGTTTTTCACGAGTTTCAAGTTTAAGATCTAAATCTAATAAATAGGAAGTAACAACTTAACACTCAAACACAATCAAACCTGTTCAGTGGTAAAACTGTCAGCCGAGTTAATTGGCGAGCAATTGGCAGATAATTGATATAATTACACTAACGATCACACTTGTATTCAAATTCAAATACAACAGTTGCTATTAATACAGAACTATTAACAGAAGTATTCCATTACAAGAGAGACAAGTATCCGTTGTAACGGATGAGTCAGAACAAGGAAGGAGGACATCTACGACTGTAACAGATAACGGATAAGTATCGGTGACACGTTACACAGACCACCCCAGGAAACATCTGTTAGGGGAAAGAAATGAGAAACGTTTCTCATCTGACGCTGAAAGCAAGCACCTGAGATAAATGGTAAG